AGCTGTCGTCTCTATGACAGACTGAGAGAGTGGGCAGTTGGCGGGTGCTCTGGTGTGGTTTGCTCCTTCTTTCCTATCAAACATCTTGTCCTTATCTCCCCTCCTTCTATTTTGTGTTTGTTACTACTCCATCTATTTTGTGTTTGTTACTCTCTTGTAACACCTCTAATCTTTGGCACTTATGAGACTTTATTGTCTTGCAAGTGCTGCAAAACACGTACTAAAACTAAAACTACCGTGGTGTCCCCAGAAATGGCTGCTCCAAAAGGAGTGGCTAACCCGAAGCGACCTAGTCAAACTGGCGGAGACCAGTGGCTCGTCGCTTGAGGCGGTCTTAGCCATCGACCACAGCGTCGACCTACAACACACCTATAGGTTTCGGTGCACATTTTGCCCGCGCCTGTGCGACAGAGAGGTCACGGAGTACCGGAAGGAGGATCTGGCCAGGCAGACAATGAGGGCTCACCTCCTTGACCACATCAAGAATTTTGCTGCGACTGTGCCCCAGGGTGAGTTATTAATAAGTTACACTATTAGTGGGGATTAAATTTTGCTTGGACGTTTACCAAGTGTCTGTTTGTGTTGAGCGCCTGACAGGCTGCTCCATAATCTCTCTCGATTGTAACAGTTTCTAGTGCATTTTTAAATTATTCATATGGTGGATTTTTATATCAGTGTATTCGTCATTTGACAGTGTATGTGGTGATGTAGGATTTGTACAAAGACAGTCAGTATTTTCAACGAAATTCTCAGTTTTCAATTCGCCATGATTGACTTGGTATTTTTCTATTGGACATTTTTTCTTCTTCTGGGGTCTACACTCCGTCAACCCTCGAACGTTTACAACAACAAAAGAAATTTTTTCTCCTGAGTGTCTCGTGAAAACTGTTGTCCGTGTCGTTTCCAACTCTGTGCTCGGGAACAAATGTGTGAGTACGTGTGTTTCTCCCAGCTCTTGTTCGTGTGTTATACCAGTGAAGTGGAAAAAAACGAGAAGAAAGAAAAGAGGTGGACGACGAAAACAAAGGACAATCCCTGTGGGGGGGCTCTCGTGGCCTAGAGGTTAAGGTGTTGGCCTCTCATTCAAAGGTCCCGGGTTCGATTCCGGGTAGCGACCAAAAAATTTTCTTCTCTAAAATTGTCTCCTTTCACATCCTTTCCTGATCTCTAACAATGTTCTGTCGTCTGCTTTCATTTCCAATTTCTGCCCCACCCCTCACCTCCTTTGCCACCTCCTCTGGGCTCCTGACTCTTTCTGCAGCCTTTCTACTGCTACTCCTTGGCTCCTCCTAACTGCTGTCTTTCTGCCACACCCCTGATCTTCTGGTAGGAAAGATCTACACCTAGCCTTCTCGGACAAGGGCGAAAAATCTCGGAGGGCCCGTGTGCAAGTTGCGCACGTTAAAGATCCCTTGGTGGTCTAAAATCGATAAGAGTAGGCTTCGGCCGCCACCCGGGCAAAATTCAAAATTTCCTACCAACGAAAAAGTATTAGGTGTGTCCCGCGCGCTCATATGACCTATGCAGTTGCGAGCGCCGTAAAACCCTATACTAAATAAACAAAAATCCCTGTGGTGTTAAGGCTAGTGTTTATGACTTAGATTAGAAAACTCGTGCATCAGCAGCAAACCGAAAAACAGAATTAACTTTAACAATTTGGTCAAAATCGACTGTCGGAACTTTTTGCAAGAAGTAGCACAAAATGTGAGAGTAGCGTGCCTTAACACCAGGTCATGCCGTAATAAAGCAGACGAGTTAAATGATTTAATTATAGAAATGAACCTTGATATTTTATGTATGACGGAATCATGGTTGCAGGAGTACGGTGACGATGCGATTTTATCAGCAATATGTCCAGTTGGTTATTTAATTAAGTCTTTCCCTCGTGTTAGGCGTAGAGGAGGAGGAGTAGCATTTATTTATAGAACTAATTTAGCACAAGTTACTGTGACAAAGATTCCATGTCACTCATGTGAGGCTGCTTTAATGTCCTTCCAGCTGCAGTCCCAAAGCATTACCATCTGCTGCATATACAGGCCACCGCCGAGTAAAGCAAATTATATCAAATCATCCGTTTTTATGGAGGAATTTCTAAATTTAATTTCAACTCTGAAGATGAAAAGTACACCTTTCATTATAACTGGCGATTTTAATTTTCATTTTGGCTCTGAAAACCCTGTAACTAAAAATATAAGCAACCTGCTGACAGAAAATTATTTAAAACAACTCGTCCAAGTACCAACACATAAAAGTCAGCACATCCTAGACTGGGTTATCTCTCCTATTGAAAACAACTGTGTGAAAATAATATTATATTGTGTCAAGCTTTTTCAAATACGATTGTTTGAATATCTTGATAACGACTCCGAATAATCTCACAATTTTGATGGAGCAGGTAGAACATTTGGTTTTGGACCTCAAGAAACGGACAAATTGTCAGATAGAACTTTGTAATTCTGAGGTAGCGATTTATCAGTGCTTTATTTTTTGATGGATTGGG